TTCAGGTTATTAGATCCCATCAATTGATTAATTCTCTGAACCACTATTGTGAATTTACTTAGTACATGGTCTCTTTTATTCCAAGCTTGTTCTGCTACTTTAGATATGCCATGTTACCATATCAAGTTATATGGACTCACTTTCATGAATGCACAAGACCTTGTTATCAGGGGGAAAAAAACAAAAAAAATTGACACTTAATTTTTAACTTATAAAACATTTTTGTAGCTTGGGGATAAACAAAATAAAAGTAAGGAAAGTCATCAGTTTCATTACATGATGCTTCACATTATGATTTTTTTAGTCACTAAAAATATAGAACACATGCTATTAATTACCAAGGGTCAAGTGGTGAAGGACGTTTTAGTCATTTACAATGGGAGTTCCAGCTGGAATATTACTTTTCAGAGAGGTTTGTAGGATTGGGAATTAGATGATTATGCACTGTTTTTAAATCATTTGTATGATGTGAAAATTCGGGTTGGAAAGGAAGATCGTAGTTGGTGGCGGTTGGCACGAAATGATGTTTTTTCAGTACACTCTTATTTTAAATCCTTCTTGGAATCTGTGGAGAGTTCATTCCCCTAGAAGATGGTGTGACAATGTAAATTCCCTCGACGGGTGACATTTTTATTGTGGACGGTTGTCAGGGGATATGCATTAACGGTGCATAACCTCCGAAGAAAAGGCTTTATGTAATCGAGTGGTGCTATATGTGTACGAGTGATGGGAAGTCGTAAGACCACTTGTTCATTTACTGTGACGGTGTTCGTTGGCTTTGGTATAATATTTTGGCTTCCCAACATATAGATTGGGTGTTGCCTAGATGTATTGAGGACGTGTTGCGAGCATGAAGGATAAAACTTCGTGATAAGGATAGCAAGCTTGTTTGGAATCTTATTCCGGGATTCTTTATATGGTGCGTGTGGAGAGAAAGGAACAATCGCTATTTTGAAGACCAAACACGGACTACAGAGCAATTTAGAGAATTTTTTTATTTGACTTTGTACAGTTGGTTTAATGCTGCAACTAGTAATCCCGTAAAGGGACTGCCTAATTTCATGTCTTTTTTTTTCTTGTTTAAGTTGATAATACACTTCC